GGGAGAGAGAGAGGGAGAGACACTGGCAGTCCAGAAGAGTTTATTAAATGTTAATCAGCTCACATGCTGTGCTGGAGAGAGGAGCTGAGGTGGAGGTGGGGAGACACAGAGGGAGACAGTATTCAGGCAAGCAGACTGAATGATCGGATCTTCACAGGGTGTGTTGGAGGAGGAATAGGAGGAGAGGGGGAAGAGAGGGAGAAGAGGGATGGCAGGATCAAAGAAAGTTTGCTGAAATTCATACTGGATAGAGCCTCCAATGCCGGGGAGCTTGGTTTTGGAGAAAACTTAATTAAGGCTTAATTAAGAGATCATGCCCCACACCCAACACACATGTGCCTTTACACGCATACACACAGCACACACACAGGCACATGCATATACAGAACACACACTCACACACGCATGTACAGGCATGCACACAAGACAAAACACAAGCATGCACATACACACACATGTACACACACGCACAAGCACGCACACGCAAACGCACACAAACACGCGCTCACACACGTGCACACACGTGCTCCTCATGGTGTCAGCGCCCCCTGTAAGTTAGTGGCCAGGGTAGCTGTGCCCGATAGTCATGCTGTGCCATACTGACGCCCTCTCGTTTGCCTTCCTCTCCAGCTGCTCTCTGCCCGCATCACGGGCACGTGGAACACACTGCCCAGGCTCTGGTGACCCCCATCGCCCTCAGCGTGACCCCTGACCCCGAGAGCTGCCCTCACTGTACACCGGCCCTGCTGCTTCAGGAAGGGGCGGGGACTGGGAGCAGCGGGGCCAACGAGGAGGAGGAAGAGGAGGAGGAAGGGGGCGTGGGGGACGCTGACCGGGTGGGCAAGAGGAGGCCCGAGCCACCTGAGGAGGACGAGGAGGAGGTAGAGGACGAGGAAGGAGCCCGGGGCAAGAAGAAAGGGTGTGGAGGGCAGTGCAAGGAACTGTGGGACGAGATGCGTGCCAAGCTGTGGGGCATCGTGGAGAGCAAGTACTTCAACAGGGGCATCATGATGGCCATCCTCATCAACACCATCAGCATGGGCATCGAGCACCACGAGCAGGTAAGCGCCCCTCGGATTACAAATCCTCAACTCAGCAGGTACCTCTGTGCACGGCGTCTTAAATCAAATACCCACCGGCTGGACAAGAGGGCGTCATGCTTTCTGGCAGGTCGAGCTGAGCTCCAGGAGTCTGTGCACGGATGCGGTCACGTCCGGTGCTGCAGCACAGCGACATACTTCCACAATTCTGGCGTAAAAAACAACCAAAAACACAGTTTGATACGTTGAAATATGAGCTGCTTGGCATGTGAGAGACACTGAACACAGATTTCCGCATGGCTGTTGAACTAGGGGAATCCTATCTAGCGTACCCACCTCTAACACAGCCAGCCTCCTCCGCTAAGAGAGCTCTGTCTACAAGGCCAGCCATCGTCATGGTGCTGACCCCCTGCTGCCCAGCAGGAGTTTAGGGGTCACCCCTTAAAGTGGCGATTTCTACACATTTGGAACAGCTTTGTTTTGACTTGATCAATTAAACAGATTAGAGATCGTCCGAAATGAAACGTGCATCCCTGACTTAATTGAACTTACAAACTTACTGCATTGGACAATGTGATCCAGTTCTTCACAGACTGACCCAGACTTGCTGGATTGTGGCTGTCTGGGACAGTTGGTATCCAGCCCTGTGTTACAATGCTATCCCACAGGACGGGAGCAGTCGTATGTATAGTAACGAGCACTAGAAACGTATTCCAAAAACACAACATCATTTAAGATGCTCTGGACTTCTGCAAATGATCTTGTTCCTTTTCGACATTCGACATTTTAGAATTAGTGTGAAAGTACTGTGGCAAAGATACAGTACAAACCTTTTAATCTGAAGGATTCGTTGGATGGATCATTAAAACTAATTAACTGTGCAATGCTTTTGTAAAGCGCCTAGCATTTCATAGTCTGTTTTTCACCTGCAAAAAACTCAGATCGCACAGCTCCAGTGCTTTAAAGCTCTCGCCAGTGAAATATGTCCAGAAAAGGAGTGTTAATAATCGTCTGTCTAGTGCGCTGATGTAGCTAGCAGAGCATGTCTCTCGGTCAATTGGACTAAAATATTTCAAAGCAGTTGCACTTAACGGATAAAAACCTGTCCATTTGAAAAGAAATGGCGAACTAATCAAAATTCATCAAAGCTGATGGAGCTGCTTGAATTAGAGTGCTCCCCACCCCAATTTACAGGTGTCACAGACAACTTAAACATCATCCAGAATTTGAAAGCATACTTTGCTGGTAAAAATCTAAGTGTTTGAAAGGAGCAGGGAGCTGTACGGTGACCCATTGGTTAGAATTGCTGTCTTGCAGCACTGGGCCCCTGGGCTCGATTCCCGACCTGGGCTGTTACTGTCTGGGTGGAGTTTGCATGTTCCCCTCCGTGTTCATGTGGGTTTCCTCCGCGTGCTCCGGTTTCCTCCAGGGATTGGCTGGTGGGTTCCTGGGAAAGTGGCCCTGGTGTGAGTGTGTCTGTGTGTTGTGTCCGTCTGCCACGTGATGGACTGGTGTCCCGTCCAGGGTGTGTCCCGCCTTGTGCCCGTTGCATGCTGGGATAGGCTCCGGCTCCCCCGCGCCCCTGACCTGGAGGAGGTGGTCAGAAGAAGGAGCAGGCTCGCGCGAGAGCTCAGAGCTCGTGAGGGGGCGTTAACTGCGGAAAGACATCTTGACGGGACTCTCCTCCACTCGCTCTCTCGACGTGTCGCCACTTCCTGCCCCCCCCAGCCCCCGAGCGGTCGAGAACGGGGGGACGTCGGGAGGGCCGGCCCGGGCGAGGCGATCCCGGCGGACGCGGGTGGGGGAGGAAGGGCTGGCGGAGGGAGCAGGGGAGTGATCTGGCAGCACCCCCTGGCATCCCAGCATCCTGCCCTGGATTCTGGTGCCGACCCAGAGCGAGGCTGAGATGAGGGGGTGGGGACGGACAGGGGTTCGCTGATTGAAAGCTCCCCATGTGGATCCTCCGTTAATTTCGGCGCCTTCCTAATGGAACTGGTGCCTAACAAGGCCTGGAATCGCTCAGAGTCTGGAGACCCCGTCGGTTCGTTTTCCCCATTTCTTTATTTTCGGTATTTTCAGTTCTAGCGCATTCCTAATTTTGATGTCCTCTATTTATTGTTAAGTTTTGGTGGAGCTCACTGTGGGGCCCGGGAGAAATGTGGCACGAAACTAAGAAGATCACAGCAATAACATCCCATTTCCTCACCGCAGATCCTGTGTTGGACAAGCACATGAAAGACTCTGATATGCATATAAAAGACAATCATTTCTTGTCTGAAAGTGTCTCATTAATAAGCCCTTGAGTCTTTATGTCATTATTTTTTCATTCACATGTAAATTTACTATAAATATTAAACACTGGGCCGTTCCAGAGTCCAGGTTCTGTTGGGCCTGGTGCATGCATAATTCAGCTTTAAGAGCCTGGAGCCTGTTTGGTGTCCAGAGTGAAAGTGCTTCCAGAATTTGAAGCTCCTGTGTCCTCCACAGCCCGGTGGCCCGTGTGGGTTATAAAAAGAGATGGCTTCTCTCTCAATTCAATTCAATTCAAGGTGCTTTATTAGCATGACCGATGGGCACAATCAGTGTTGCCAAAGCAAATAAAAATAATAAAATTAACATGGAACAAAACAAAAAATAGAAGTAAAATAAAATCTACAGACATATTACAGACATTTACAACAAAGACATATTACAAAATATGTCT